AATCATATAGAGTAACCTCACCGTCATGTCCAGGCAACGGCGTAATGACACAACAGTAGGCCCGTAAGCAACATTAACTGGGTGGGCCCCATATGAAGTACAACACGTGATAAAGGTTCAGGATACGGCGACAGTTCCATAAATCAGCCAAGAAGATACAATTATGCAATTCTCAGTAGTATATGATCACACATCCAACACGGAAAAATAGTGACTGCGCACCTTGAATGGAACCGTTGGTGACAGCAAGCATCACATCCATGAAAACATGTTGGTGGCGCACCATGCATGTCCATGAAATCACATTTGGTGTCCTGCTACACATCCATGAAAACACGTAGGTGACGGCAGCCCAGACGTAGGCAGAAATAATAAAAACCAGAAACAATCAGATTAGCCAAACCTCAAAGCTTGTATTTTAAAGATTATCACTTTACACAGTACTGGCAAAGTGAGCACACAGACACGCAACAGACCAATCCAGGAACCCGGTCGCAATCTTTACTCACGGGACTGGTAGCAGCAGCAACATCCACCTCTCCCTTTTTGGTTCTTTGTAAGAACGTGTTTATTTTCGTAAGTTTTTTCCATTCTTCCAGCAGGTCTTATTTCCTTTTTCTTTTCTGGAATCCGCTTAAGTTCCTCTTTTTGGTATCCATTGTCACTAACACATTTGGTTTTGGTTTAATTTACGCTCTGGTTTTAGTCTAACACCTCAAACCTGGTCCGTATTTATGTACGCAACAGAATTAGGTATTGAATAATTGACAGAAGTTCTAAACAGAAGCCACTATGCTAATTTATCCTGCTAATAATCCTGTTTAATTTAGATGAAAGCTGCATAAATGAATGTTTGCAGACAAATCTAGTTTTAATAGCCAAAGATTATTTAAGTCCTCTACTGGTGATTAATTTAGAGTAAAAAAAAAAAGAATTCAACGTTATCTCACTGCTTCTACATTTTGGTCTAATATTCTCAAACAGATGTATATGATGTAATAGGTAATGTGCTGAAGCCCATCTGAGATTGGTATTTACTTATTTTTCCGCCTACAGTGGGCGCTGGTTGGAAATGGACACTTCACTCACGCTCCGCGTGTTTCACATATTGTGTGAAAAACATGTGACTACTATAGCCACTAGGTGGCAGTCTGAGTCAACAGATGATTGTCGCTGTTTTAATCACTCTTACGTGAACATTTTTAACGGAAAAGGTGTATTAGTCGTTATGTACGGAAGAGGGTTAGGGCCACTATAAAAATAAAAAACGTTAACTGATTTTTAAATTCTATTTCAGTTTAATATGAGGGGGAAAAAATCAGAATTCTGACTTTAATCTCAGAATTCAGACATTTTTCTCAGAATTCTAACTTTAATCCAGAATTCTTACTTTAATCTTAGAATTCAGACTTTTCTCAGAATTCTAACTTTAATCTCAGAATTCTTACTTTAATCTCAGAATTCAGACTTTTTTTCTCAGAAATCTGACTTTTTTTCCAATATTGAATTGAAATAAAATGTAAAAATCAGTTAACTGTTTTTTCAGTGGCCCTAATCCTCTCCCGTAGTAATGATAGATCTCTAAGTTTTAAAATGTTTTGGGAGCATTTAAAAATTTCCACAGATTACTTTTTTTTTTTTCCCGTTAAGATCGATTTGTTGGGAGGGGGACAAAACTGCAATGTAACTTTTACACAGAAAGATGAATGCTGCCTCCCGACTGAGGAATGTGTTTTGTATGTTAAAATGTATTTTTGGTTAAAACACAGGAAATATTCTGCTATCAGGGTCTGTTAAGCCTATGTGGGTCACTAATGGCTCATATGTTTTTGTTGTATCTTTTTCATTTATTTGTTTACCAAAGGTGTTTTATGTTTGTTCCAAAGCTGTGAAGGTCTCAGATTCTGTAAAGTTCAAGTGTTTCTCTTCTCAGAGCAGTATCTAACAGACCCGAGTCCAGCAGCAGCTGAAACCTTACCTTAAACCCACTCAGAATTAATCATGGCGGCAAAAGGATTTCAGATGTTTGACTCAGGTTTGGAAGTAAAAACACAGGGCAGGGTCAAACTATATATTCACTTGGATGTATCTATAAGACCATAGGCTTTTGATTTGGTCAGGGTCATGCGTTTTTTAATGTTATAGAAATTTGTTGTGCAAAGGTAGCATTTATATTCTCGTGGTTGGCATTTGGATTGTAAATAACTACATCTAGCTCTCCTTAGTTGTATTTATGTTCCATTAGTTTTGCGTAAATCGTACTTTCAAATGTAACTGATGGTAAATGTTCTTTAAGAAAATTCAGTATGTAAGGTTGAAGTAGGAAAAAAAGGTTATTTAAAACTGTGGTTTCAAAGGAACCCCTGCCATCTGTGTTGTTTCTAGTATAAGACACACTGATATTAGAACTGTAGGTGAGTTTAAATGATCAGAAATGATTAGCCAGACAGCCAGAACCAATTAGTTGTCTGCTTGGAAAGCACTTTTTCTAAGTCAGAGCTAAAATTTAATAACTTTTTAGCATAAAATTGTTAGCTTTTGTCCCAATAGGCTAACTAAATTCCCAAATATTACAAACTTTATCCACTAATAAAATTTTCAGCACTTCGGTGTAAATTTATTTAAAAATGTTAGCTTATTATTAATTCGTTAGCTGTTTTCAGACCGAGCTGTTAAATCATTTATTTATTAAAAATTCTCTCATTTTTGGAATAATCATATTTGGAAAGAAGAGTATTTGGATATGAGCTAATGAAAAACTTAGAAGAAAAACTTAGAAGAAAAAAAAGATAATTTGAAATGTTAGCTTAGCTTAAAACCATTAGCTTGTCTATGATCCAGCTGTTAAATAATTTATTGATTAAATATGCCTACAATTTTGACATAAGCATATTTGGAAAGGAGGGTATTTGGATACCAGCTAACAAAAAAATTGTTGTCTCTAACCAATCTTTTAAATCATTTATTAATTAAATAGGACTAAAGTTGTCAAACAATCATATTTGGAAAGGAGAGTATTTGGATTCAAGCTAATGAAAACTATTATATTTGAAAAAAAAAAATGAATTTGAAATGTTAGCTTAGCTTAAAACCATTAGCTTGTCTATGACCCAGCTGTCAAATCATTTATTTAATAAATATGCCCAATTTTTTTGGAATTCTTACATATGAAAAAGGGAAATATCTAGATACAAGATAATAAACAATTTAACATATGAAAAACAAAAAAGATTAGATTGAAATTTTAGCTTAGCATAAAACCATTAGCATGTCTCTGACCAAGCTGTTAAATTATTTATTTGGGAAAAATACTTTCATTTTTTGAATAGTTATTTATGGAAAGGAAAATATTTGGATATAATGTAAACTGGCAAATTGACAATTGCAAAAAAAATAATAATAATTTAGCTTGAAATGTTGGTTTTATCACAGAATTGCTAGCATGACTCAAATAATGTAAATTCCTGGCTGGATTTTTTTCTGAATATAAGCAAATCAAATCAAATTTTTAGGTTGTCCTGGATTAAGGCATTTTAAACATTTTAAGATTAATGTATTAATTATATCAATACATTTGTTTCACAACATTTTGAACTCAAGCAAGCAAACAGTTTGACATTTAAGCAGAAAATTACTGGAAAGCTGGCTGAAAGTAGATTTTTGGTGAGATTATTTATTCCACTCAATCTGAAGAATAGTTGAACAGTTAGACAAATGAAAGAGAGGCTGTCTGGCTGCCATTTTCTGTATTTAGTTCCAGAAACGATGGCTATTGTCATCAAACTGCTCCTGCGTCAGCACATCAGAACACCATTCAGGAAAATGCTAATTTTAATTTGTTTTCTTTCATTTTCTTTGGTAGATTGGAAGAGTCGCATCCATAGACTGTGTAAAAAAAAAAAATACCGTCTGTGGTCTGGCCTCTAATTTACAAATGTTTCAGAGCAGCCACAAATGAGACGGTGAAAAGGACACACTGTGGCGTCTCTTGTTTTAGTCTGTGTGTTCTGTCCACCAGTGTCACGGCATTCTGGGAAGAGTTGAAAAGTATTTTTTGATGGCTCTAAGAGGCCAACATTAGGAAATGTGTTATTTTTGTTACAATACCTCCTGAAAATAAGTCTATTTATCTGTAAAGAGACAAAGATTTACAGTAATGCAGATGCATAAAGATGATTTTAAACAGAGATGTACAGCTAATTTGAACACGATACAGAGATCTATTGTCAGTATTGAGTTTGATTTTATATATTTGCCATTTTATTACGTTGTAATGTTGTGACTGCAATGGAGAAAAAAAAAATACAAAGGAATACAAATAAATTTTTCTAAACGTGTGTTGCACTTTTTTCCCCCCACTGATGATAAAATATGAAGAAAACAAAACACAGAGATTCTATTACCTCAGATTTATTATCATTATCTCTTCTCACATTAGTTGAAAAACAAAATATCTTCCCGCTACAATAAGCAGTAACACATGTGCAAAGCTGCCTCTTTGTCATGCTATTTTAATATATCTATGATGGCCGTAAATTCATATAAGGTGATTTTTTTTTTATAGAAAACAAATCAAAATTTTGAGTTTTAAAATATGAATTAAGGGAAACTATCACATTTATTGAGAGCCCTGGTAAAGATGGAAAAAATAAACTTTATTTCTAGTCTTTCATACTTATTCATACACTTTAAAAATTCATTAAAAAATTAAACCGTAGCATTTCAGTTAATTCCTGTTTTCGCTAGGAATAAAGTAATTATGTCTTGGCATAAAGGCCCATTTTTTTAGCCAACCTCAGCTCTACCAGGGGTGTCGACAATTACAAGTAAAAAAAATAAATCAAAAAATATTATAAAATGAACAACGCAAAAAGTATTCTCTCTGCTGTTTCAGTAACCTGAGTTCTGCTTGCATGTAATCCAATAAAGATCCATGAAATAAACTAGCATTTTAACATTTACATATATGGATGAATAATGTGGAATATTCAATATTACACTTACTTTTACAACCAGGATTGCATTACTTTGTCTTATGTTAGGTTTTAAAAACCCACTAAATCATCTATCCTCTAAGGGATGCTACTTATTTAACTTTGGAAGAAGAGTAAAAAAACGTCACTTTGCTGTTTAAACATCTTGACGTTAAAGTAATGAATTTAAGCACAGTGATTCATTTTTATTGTATGTTTTGGTCATTTTTGGTGGATTTGTCTGATTTGAAAAACAAAATATCAACAACCTGTTTTCAGAACTTTCAGCAGCAGCGGTTCACAGTTTTTAATCCCTGCAAAATAGTCCCCATAAGATAACCAAACCTCCATCTTCTTTGGTAATAACTTCCCTTATTTTGATTTCACCTAAGAAAACCATTAGTAGTCATCGATACTAGGTTTACCTTTAAATTGCGCTTTGAATGACAATATAAAAAATTTAAAAAAATCATGTATTTTGAACCAATCTGTGTGACAAATCAGCCTAAAATACAAGGTTAATCGTGAACTACTGGCTCCCTCTGCTGGCCAAAACAATGAAAAACAAGGAAATGCTCACAATCACAAACGTTTTAAAACGGCCACATAAACAACAGCATCAAAATCTCTGAAGCGTGTCGCATTACTTAAAATCAAACATACAGTATCCATGGTAACAGCTACTTTTACTCCACCTGTAGCAAGTGGAAGCAAAACCTGAGGGTATGTGTTGGGAAACAACCACATGACAGAAGAAAGCAAAGCAGAAGCGGAGCTTTCGGTGGTTTATGGAACCAAGGGTTCGTCATCGTCACAGAGAAAGTCCAGCCTCTGGAAGGGCCTGGGGCCTGCGGTTGGACGGGAGCCCATGCACCGGAAAAGAACTGCAGAAAAACAAGTCTGGTTAGTTTTCTGATTAATCAATGCACTATGCGTAAAATACAAATAAATCACAAGATTGTTAAGACTCACCAGTGATAATAGTGAGCAGCAGCAGGACCCCCACCACCAGGCCGATAACCACGGAGGTTTCCCAGCAGCTCTCGCCAGCTAGCAGACACCGAGCGCTGGTCAAAGAGCCGTTGTTGGGCTGTGCCGGCACCGCCAGCAGGCGGCACATGAGCGGGTAAATATCTACGCTCTGCAGGCTCTTCATCTGGACACCTTGGCGGAAGCCGGGGCCCGTCGCTGCCAGGAAGGGATGCATGCTTGGCAGGGAGTTGTAATACCCATGATCACCTACTATGGAGAGCAAATAAGGGCTGCCGTTAGCATTAGCATTAGACTTCTATAAAAATGTATGTAGCTAGAAGCCAAATTCTATCCGTTCTTAACCAGCTTTCATTTTTAAATCTAATTTGTGGTACAAATCAGTAAGAGAGTTGGAGAAAATTTGAATTAATTCACATTTTTGCACAATTTTATCACTTACGCCTTGGCAGCTTGTTTCCCCGCCTCACAATGGTCCAGCCTTCGTCAGCGATCAGTAGGATCGGTTGGATGCGAGGGTTGTTCCGATAGTGGAGACCGTCTGGGATGGATTTCTTCATGTACGCCTTCATGTGAGGATGGCACTCATTCAGTAAGCTGAAGACCCGCTCTGGATCTGAAGCAAATCAAGCAGAGGGCAGGTTATAGAAGAGGAAGAGCGGCAGAACCAACACTACGTGGCTTTAGCCTGATTACCTTCTTTGGGGCGGAGCGCGGCGACAGGCGTCAGGTCCACCAGAGTATAGTTGTCGGGGTGGAGGCAGTCGTCCAGCCGTATGAGGCGATCGGCGGAGCACTGCGCCATGCCGTGGTCACTGGTCACTATGAGGTTGATGCGACCCCAGAGGCCCGTCCTCTTCAGCTCGTCCATCAGCAGCCCGATATTGTCGTCAACCTAGATTACAAACAGACAGGGGGGGGGGTTACCATAAGGCAATACTAGGCAGTTTCCCCAAGTTCCTGGGGGGCCCATACAACTCTTCTATGTATAGTTAATACAACTATTCCTTATTTGTGGACATTAATTATGCTTTTCATAAAAATCCTTTCGCAAAAATGCCATCAGAAAGCTTATAATATTAAGTGTATCTCAGCCCCCCCTCAGCGTCCACCATATTGGATCAGTCCATTTGCTGCACATGTTCAGAAAGGTCCAAACAGACAGCAGCAAACCATTTAAAAACAAACGGTGCAAAGAGCATTGTTGCCAATTTAGCACTTTGTTGCTATATTAAGCAACTTTTCAGACCCCTCTAGCACTTTTATTTTAAAAAAGCTCCTAGCGCCAAATCTAGCGACTTTCTTCTGCTACTTGAGACTTTGGCGACAACATATAAAAGCAGCGAACTCTGCTCTCCAGAGCAAGTCGATTCGTAACCCCGCCTCCTGCTCTCTGCTATCTTTTCTGCTGTCATGATTCATGCAGCTATTATTTCATCCAAATGTAAAATGAAGAACAGATAAGCAGATCATGGCTTGTCTACAGTGAAAAGAAGGAATCTGTTATTCACTTTTGCAGTTGCCTTTTTGGAAACACAGGAAGAAACAATCGACTGGGCTTAGTGCTTGGAAAAAATCTTTCATTCCGTTTGAGACAGCTGAGTATAAAACATAGAGAGGAAAACAACAAGAAAAGGTACATACAAATAATGTATGTCTATTCTATTAAAAATTCTGTATCTCTATAATGGATCTGTTTTATGTTTTGTCTTCTCAATTTGTGGGCCCCCTGCTTGTCTTTGCCTAGGGCCCAAAATTTCCTAAATCCACCCCTGCAAACAGGAATAATCATTTCTAATTAAAGAACTTTATTATTTCCACTCAAGACTTTAACATCTGTCTGATTGGCAAACACGAGCTTCTGGGCGGATATTTACGTCTTTTCTGGCAGAACTGGCGAGAGTCCAGATCAAATCGATCGGTTTTCTGGCAGTGACTCAGATATTAAGCACAACCCACACATTTAATTACATCTAAGGTCAGATATTCTAACATAAGTGTTCCAAAAATAGATTTTATTACTTTTAATTATCATTATCTTGTCGGAAGCTATTAATGTGTCCAAGTTTCAACCATCCGACTTAACTACCTCCCTTTACAATGCAAGGAGACTTATAAAGCTGTTTAATAAGGCTAGATTCTGTCAGTAGCCATTACTTCAACCAAGATTAAACTGTTGGAAACATTGAGAGAAATATGGTGGTGGCTGCATCATGCTGTGGGGCCGTTTTGCGATTATGGCTGCATTTTATCAAATGATTATCATACTGGAATTTGTATTAATAATTTTGCAAATTCATTCAAATTATCAACTTCTTAAGCTTCTAATGAGCCATTAAATGTGCAGAAGCGAAACACTACCTCCTTTAGAGCTTTAGCCATTGCTGTTTTGTTTTCAGGACCAAAAGTGTGACCCGACCGATCAGGCTCCTCCCAGTAAAGAGCTGCAAACATGGCTCCCGGCTTCTGGCGAAACAGGAAGAGAAATAAGGATGTCAGACATCTGCAGATGAACCCTTCCACCTCAGGAGACCATCTTTACCTTCCCGTCTCCTAACATCCAGTTTGTCACGTTCCCTAAGCGCTGCTGGAACGTCACATCGGGGTCGTAGTGGAAGAAGTGCGTCGGTGTGCGGTTGGTAACGTCGGAGCCAGGCCACATGGCGGCCGCCGTCTCGTAGCCGGACTCCTGAGCGGTGAGCCACAGGGGCTGCGCCGAGCTCCACCACATGGGGTCGCTGTCGTTCTGGAGGCTGAAGTGCTTGCCGCTGATGGGGTCGTACATGGTGCTGGCCAGGATGTTGTGGGACTCTGCGTACAGCCCCGTCACCTGGAGAGGAGACAACACCGGGCTTTAGTCATCGTTCCTAAAAAAAAAAAAAGCTGTGGGTGTGGATACTTTTTTTTTTTCTGAAACATGCTGACCAGGCTGTAGTGGTTAGGAAACGTCTTGGTGATGAAGACGTTAGTGAGCTGCTCCACCAGGACCCCCTGGCTGTACAGGAGCTTCAGGTTAGGCATGGGAAACCTCTGCAGGTAGTCGGCCCGAAAGCCGTCAAATGACACCAGCAGCAGCGGCTGGGAGTTGTTCTCAGCCGCCGAAGCGCCAACGACGCCCCACAAGAAACCCAACAGCAGTCTGGGAAACATCCTGAAAGCAAAGAAACAAACCAGGCGCTAAAAAAAGAATATATATAGACAGCTGCATTATAGTTTCACTTCCTCAAAACTTACTTTTGTCCTTTGAAACGAAACCAATAAACCTCAAATCTAGATGAGAGGTGTGAATAAAACGTGGGTCAACAACCAGCTCTTATAGTATTCGAAACAACTTTCTAATAATCAGAATCCGCTGAAATCCCAGAAGGAGTTGGATGTTTAAGGTGAAAATCAGGACATTAAACTAAGCTGTTTTTACTCCTGCTACTACAAAATGCAGGAGAAAAAAAACAGCTTAAATTGTTTGAAACCCAGTGATTTGATTCAGTAAAAGGAATCAACTGAAGAGCTGCCAAAAAGTGCTCTTTCATAACACACCCTTTCATTTTGCTAAATCAAATCACTTTGCTGCTAAACTGTTTTGGATTTAAGTTGTGATCTAAAAAAAAAAAAAATGTTTGGATAAAACAAAATCAGCGTCTAAACTTTACAGGGCTTTAAGAAAGGTTTCACCCTTTTAGGTAAAACTTAAGTGTAGTTTTTTAATTATTATTATTAAAAAGCTTAAGTGTTTGTTAGAGTAGAGTTTCTGTGATGCTGTGTTTTGTTTTTTGAAACCAAAGATCAAATAAACCTGTTTTAAGAATAGAAGCGAATAGAGAAGGTATTTCAGTGGTTTAAAGGTTTTCTGCACAGCTGTGCTGACCTTTGACCCCATTTTGCTCCATTTTTATGTCCAGATACATAACCTGGTTCAATACATCTTTCAAGTTTCATCAAAAAATGAAATTGTCTAGAGCCATTTTAAACGTAATGTCGTTTTTTTATACACGTGTGTATACAAATTAACAAAATAAATCTGCCTAAGACTAAATAAAGCTACAAAATTGAAGGTGTGTAGCAGTTATGGCTACATATATCTGTCAGCTCAGCTATTTCCCTCCATAAATGTGAATAATAGACAGAATATAACATTATTACCACTCTGAACCATTAAATTAAACCCTGTGCTTCAATTGAAAGTAACTAAAATGTTGATCTAACCTCAGTATATCTGAGAAGTTTGTGTTGCCTTAAGCAAGATCCTTATAGTAGCACCGGTGGTGGTGGTATCATGCTGTGGGCCGAAGATGTGAGTTAATAGGATGATGGTTTAAGCTACAAAAAACAAAGTTAACAATGATGCCTAAATCCAGACCTAAAGGCAATCATATTAGTACGTGTTAAAAAAATGATATGCTCAAAGTTGGAGCTCGTGTTGTCAAAAAATCCACAGCAGGTGACGTCATATTTTCACAAGGCAGCGTATAAATGACCAGGAAGCGTCAATAATGGCAACAAGGAAGTGTGTTTTTTAGAAGGACACTAGTTTTTGTAATCTTAAGAAAAGAAACAAACGGAAGCAGAATCAAAGTGTGTCCCGTTAAATGACCAAAACATTTTTTTTTTCGCTTTCACTTCAGCCAATAGCCTAAAGCTCCTTAGCATATATTTACTTCCTCGTTCAAGGCTAACATTTATTTCAGGGTATATTACCTGTTTTTAAGCTCGCTGAAGGTCCCGCTGGCTCCCAACAGCTTTGAATAACTCTTCCACACGGACTATTTTTGCAGCCACATCCTCATTTAGACCCCAAACATCACAAACAGTGACAGGCTAACCTACAAGCTAGCGCCTCTTGCACATATTTCCGGTTGAGAATTCCAAAATAAGACATCTGAGCAACAAACGTACTGCAGTGGATTCCCTTTCAAGACTTTATCTCTTGTTTTTATATAGGTTTTACGTTAAAAACAAATTGCGTTATAGGCAAGCTGTCATAAAGTTATGAGACTTTTCTTTAAATCACACAGTTATACGTTTTAAATATACGTTGGTTTTATTTTGGTGAGCAATATTACCGGGCTCAGACACCAATACATCTGTTTACAAGAGGAACTGACAGTTAAAGCAGCCAATCAGCAGCTATTTTTATATAACGATCAAAATTACCTGTCCTTTTATTCAGTTATGCAGTTTTATTTATAATGCCTGACTATTATGATTGTCTTTAAGTTATTTGGAGCTATTTGAGATTAATGCATTTAGTCTGAGTTGCAATCAAAACTAGTTGTCAATTTTCTCATTGATGTGAAATTAAATAATTAACTTTATTGACAATCATTCCAGAACATATTTATTATATATTTATAATAAATTTCAGTCTCTAGCAGCCTCCAATAGGTTCTTCCAGGATTACATTGTAGTTAGTTTCATCTACTTTAGCTATTTTTCTATTTTCACATTATTTATATAGAGATGTAAATTTATAGTTTTGCATGTAGTCTGACCAGAGCCTCATTTTGCAGATGAGTTATGTATCTCCTCTAGGGATGAAACAATCAATCGGATTAATCGGTTATTGAAATAATCGTTTAGTAATTGATTAATCGTTATCTGGAGTGTAGAGACTCTTAAACGTGCCTTTAGCTGACAGAGCGACACATCTTGAGCAGCAATTATACTAAAATTGTGGGGGAAAAATCTAAACATTTTGCTTTTAAGATACAAAATTGTTGTTGTGTTTCATGTGCTCTATCCAGTTTCATTCGTTTCATTCGTTTTAATTTAATAAAATTCTTCTTTAAGCAACGTTTTGCAATCCGATTATTAATCGATTTATCAAGAAAAATGATTGAAAGATTAATCCATTTGCAAAATAATTGCTTGTTGCAGCCCTAATCTCCTCCTTAATTACCTTTGGCCTGTTGGCTTATTCTCTGAGCAATATTCTCCTACCTAGCCTATCGGTTTAGGTCAAGGGTGAACAGTTCCATTTCCTGCAACTTTTAGACGTATCCTTGGTCCGACACACTCGAATCAAGTAAATAAATGATTAAGAGGACTTTGAAGAAATTGAATGCATACAGAGGAGGTGTACACCTAATTTGATTCAGGTGTGTTGGACCAAAGATGAGACTAAAAGTTGCAAGATAGCAGATAGTCAGGACCTGGAATCTACCACATTTGCTTTAAGTATACCCCGACTGCAATGCAGATGTCCTTTTAAAGTTTCAAATGATGTGGGTTGATTCTATTTTGGTGCAATATTAAAATCTGCATGTTAAATCGAAAGGTCAAGTTTAAAAGAAATGTACATTTTTTAAATTTCCCTCATGCAGCCGTACTTATCGTCAAAGGACATTAAGAGGGACAGCGATTTTATGTAGCCATTGAATAACTTTCTTTTAAACCAGAGTTGTACTCTTTTATTGGGATTGCCTTTTAGCCATACATGTCCAAAGTCCTGCGTTGCTCTTTGATAAGATATCCTGCATTGGATAACAGTCCCTCTGCTGTGTACCCTGACACACAGACTGTAGAGTCCTTCAACCAGGATGGATCCCTTCAAAGAGAATGCCTATGAGAGACCAGATGATGAGGAGAATGAGAGAGAACAACGAGAGCACTCCTACCAGAATCAGACATTAGATATGCATGACTTGACCGACCATGTCACATATGAAGAGCCTTCAGAACTAGAGCACATCTATCAGACTCCGTCGGACGACACCTACGAGGTAACCAACGATGCAACATATGAAGAGATTTCCGAGCAGGAGCGCTCCTACCAGAATCAGTCCCCAGCTATCTATGAAATACCCAGGGAGTCCCCCAATGAAGACTCCTCAGATCATTCTTCAGAGCATGAATACACAAGAACTGCAGAGGATGGAACGCCGGTTCCCCGGTCCCCTTCCCCAGAGCAGCCTCCTGCAGAGGAAAGACGAGGCAGTTCCTCTTCTGTCTCATCCTCCTCGTCTTCCTCACCGGCAGAGAGAGACGAGAATCTGGATCACAGCAGGGGCGAGATGGAAGAGGAGGAAAAGGAAGAGAGCGAGGATGAGGAAAAAGAGAAGAACGTGGAGAGACGGGAGAGAATCACAAATATGAACTTGGACCTGGGGGGTCCAGAAATGGAAGTGGAGGCGAAGGAGTCATCGCGCAGATCTTCATCATCGTCTTCATCATCATCATCATCATCCGTCTCTGAGAAAAAGAAGCCAGGGAATAAGGTGGATGGGCCAAACATCTGTCTTTATGCAAGGGTAAGAAAGTTCTTGGTGTGTCTCATGCTCAGATACACAAACCTGAAGGTGATTCTCATTAAAAACATGTCTACAATTGACTGAGCAACTTTAATCATTACATCATCACGCAAACGTCACTGCTGTGTTTGTGTTGTGGCGAGGTGACGAGATGTTAGACTGTTTCTAAATATAACTGTAGTTGAGCCGACAGGAATGCTCTGACTCAGAGGGCCGCCAGTTCTAGGGCGTATGCTGTCCCTCGGCCGTGGCAGCGCAGGTTATCTATCCAGTAACAACTGCATCGCACATACAGAGTCACTCATTACATAATCTGCAGGTTCCACTCTAAAGTCCAGCAGCAATGGAAATGTGAAGGAGATAACTGAGACGGCATGATGGTAGAAATCCAGGGACCAATGTCAACCGTTGGTAGCACTAAAGTTTCACCTTGACAATATGGCTAGATTAGAATAACTGTGAGCACTGATATGTTATCTCTGGATAGATAAGATACCGGCAATACCTTTTTTTTTCATAAGTTGAAAGATCTCATTAAACTGGCATTATTTGATACCAGCAAGTAAGAATTTTATAAACAGCTACAACCTGTGCTGATCAAACCTGCTGCATAACCGTTTGTGTCCGTGTATTAATCATCAAAAAAAAACAACACAAAAGAACGTAGCATTAGATTAAAACGCAGCATTACCACTTAGCACAAATAAACAGTTCAGCATTTAGACCTGAATAAACATCAGTTTTGGTAAATCGTTCTTTTTTCAGAGATCTAGTGGAACATATTTACATCCGGAGGGTTCGAAGTAGCTACTTTCTTTCTGGCTGAAACCATTATCAATTGGCCATAGGAGATTGTTGGAATGTAAATTTGCAATTTAGTTAATTAAGGTCTTGATCAAGTGCATTAAAGTAAGGCAATAAATACTTTACCAGAGAATCCCACCTTTTTTGTGTTTAGGAAACCATCTTTATGACATAGAGGGCCCAACTCTCAAACTGGCTTCTTAAAGTTGGGTAAAAACACCAAAGCTGGGAGTTTCCTATGGGTTGGGTCACTCCCTTTTAAAAGGACTTTGGGCTTTTTGTGTTTAATGTACAAAAAAGATATGCATAGCATAAACAAGGATAGATAATGTATACTTTATACTACTTATTAACATTTACAGCGGCTAACTTGACAGGATACTATCAGTCTTGATTAATTAACTGATTTTTTTAGTTTTATTGCTTCTACTGATAAAGCTATCAAAACACAAACATATCTCACGATAATCTGAGCAGTTCTCTTAAAAGATAAGGTTGTTTTAAACCTGTAAAAGTCATGCATAAAGCTCACTTTATTAAATGTTTGCAGTTTAAAAACAGGGGAGACTGAGAAAAACCTGCAACAAGGTTTAAAGACCTTTTCTTGCAATATATAGTTTTATTTTTAATTAAACTTAATGATAAGTACACAGAGAAATACTTTCCAAATATACCTTTTTTTGATTAACATACCTGTTTAGGCTATACGTATCATTTTTCTTCTTCAGGAACTGAACTGAACTCAAGCTTTCAAACTTTGAACTCACATCTTGAACCTATTAATTCAGCGTTCAGATTTAGATGGTCAGTCATCTAAATGTCGTTATTTTTTTAGGAAGATTTGCAGGAAAAAAAGCTGCTAACAGTTTAAAACAACATTTTCAAGCTGCTGCTTTGCATCTAAATTATGAATGACATGACCTTTGGCCATGCAATGATAAAGAAACTTTATTTGCATATAAGATTGTATGGCTTGCTCGTTAATTACAATAATTAGAATAAGTTCTTCCAAAGTGAAAAAAATATATATTTTTTTAGTTTAAAATATTGTGCAGTAGCGGATGAGGTGAATTCTCAAAACACTTAGTTGCAATAGATTTTTTTTCAGGGGTATTAAAGTAAATGGGGTTAAATAAAACAACAAATGCATACTTCTCTATGTACAAAAACATATTTAAGTAATGTAGTTTCTTCTTTTAATCTGGCACACTATATATTTATATAAAAAAGCTAATTTTTTTGCTGTAAATGGAACTGGACTTGGATATTTCAGTTGAAATATATATTTTTTTTTTAAAGCTGCCATTTCACAGTAGATACAGCCCTGAAGTAAAGAAAGGCGAAGACCCAGATAGCCTGGGGCCCTTTTACTTCTTAGGGGACAGTGTATCAGAGTCATCCAATTATAAGTGAAAGCTGTGGAACCTGCTCCTTCGATTCCACAGAGAGGTTATTTTCTCCTGACTCCGTCACGCCTTGCAGCTGAATCCCAGGGTACAAACTGAACCCCTGCAAACTGGCCCACCCCACCCCACCTCACCTCACGCACTCCCTGTCCTTGTCACGCTCTCTGGCATTCGTCCCCAGCTGATCCTCTGTCAGAGCTGCCATGGGACAGAGCGGACTGCACCCAATGGACTTGGATTAGAATCTGCTGGAAACTGACACGGCTAACCATTAAAATAAAATCCACTCCTTAGCTGTGATACCTAAAGAAGCGAGTCAGTGTTTTGTTCTTTTTTTGACCATGACGGATACTGTAGTGGAGGAGGACAAGGACCCTGATATTGAACTTTTTGTTAAGGTGGGCACATTGTGTGTGTGTGTAAACAACTAGGCTCTCTCTATATCAGCTTCTGTATCATTTCCAAAACAAATTTTCTGCACACAGATTAAAACACAAAAAAAAATGCAGCCCATGCCATAAAGTGTTGTGCATTCGAATAAAAACGCATGCCACAGTTAATATCATTTAAAATCGTCTTTCAAATGTTTAAGTGCAGCTCCTTTAAGAGGGTGCATGCCATGTTGTTGTGGTTGGGTGCTGATTTTCCATGTGTTAACCTGACACCGACCCACATTCATGCACTGACAATCTCTCTCCTTCTCTGGCCCTCTCAATTATTACTGGATTATTTTCACTATTGAGATTAAAAGCTCAAATTATCTTCTGTTAATGTTGCTATGATTTAACATTTAGGACTTTTGCTTATTTGTTAGACAGACACCCCTTCTTTATTCAAGGCAACTGAGTTATTTTAAAAATTAGAGCAGTTGCAAACCTTATAGGAAAGCGAGAATGTTTTATATCTTTAGATATCCCTACATTGTTTCTGAAATATGCGGAAAACTTTAAATATGTGGAAAACTTTAAATATGTGAAAAAAGCATCAGAGATTTTCTCTGAAACTTTTTTTCCTGTGCTGAAAACAGAGGAAAATGGTTTGTTCAAAAGCTTAAAATTATGAAAAATGATACGCTGCAGAACATTTCGGGTCAATTCCTTTCTAAATATGGACTCAAAACCACACTTTTAAAATGTAAAATTTTAAAAATTCGAAGTAGAACATATTTCATGCAACTCAGAACTTGTAGAAATTAAATTGCTAAAAATATTTCCCAAACTTCCAATAGAATGACTGCAAAGCTAGTGTAACCATCACAATGAGTTAAAAAACCTGGAATGTTTATATAAATAATATATATTATTTTTAATCATTTACTGTATTTTATTTAAATGTTTTCATTGGAGCAGTGTTTGCTAATTGTGATGCCTGTTGTCTTTCTGTTTTAACTAGTTTTAGCCCAACAGCAATGTTTACGTAGCTAATTTAACATTGTGTTTTACTGCAGGGTACTTGCTACAAAGAATTGCCCTTTAGGGGATTAATAAAGTCATCGGATTTTGCTATAACTTTTTGCTAAGAAGGGAATCTCAGTTCTTTTTAGGCATGAATGCATTTCATTATAGGACAAAACACAGATTTCAGTAGCTAAAAAATGCGGTTAAAGTGTAAGAACCAGAGGTTCAGATGGGCAGTGAGGCGGTTAATGGAAGCTGTGTGGATTATTAATGCCGGACCTTGTATCTGATTTCAATGCAGTGTTCGGTTACAGTTCTGCTCGTGCAGACTCAAACAAACAATCCCAGCACATGTGAACCTAAGAAACTTTTTATAAAATTTCAAATTAAGCCGCTGTCGCCCTCAAGATGCTGCCAAAACTATTTAGATGCCTGCCTCTAAATATGCAAGAACTTAAAATAGTATCCTAAAAGCTTTCATATAGACTTGGTTTAGTATATTTTTTATTCTTTGTCTCAAACTGCAATGTGCATTATTTGATAATTTGGGTGATAATGAATTGGAAATAATTGTTTTCTATTATGTGTTTATACCATTGTTAATGCTAACGACATTCAGACTCTAAAGTGCAGCAATATGAATGCAATACCTTGTGCAATATCTAATGTGCAATTTGTATCTAATACCTTGTGCAATAACCTGTTTATATATTTGATACCCAATGCAATAACTATATATATAAATTCCCATCAATATTAATACCCCTTTGATACCCTGTGCAATAACCCTGTATAATAATCCAGCTAAATGCTAAATAAGAGACTTCAGCTGTCATATATATATATATATATATATATATATATATATATATATATATATATATATATATATATATATATATATATATATATATATATATATATATATATATATATATATATATATATATATATATATATATATATATACGCCATACACCTTTTCCTCCTTTTGGCATCTTCTTCTTATTTTTGACTTTTGAGCTGTTGGCTGATGTAATGATTAAATTGCTCCATAAGAATATAGGGGAACATGTTGGAAGCGTTTGTGGGTAAAAGAGGATTTCCAAGGGAGGGTGTTATAAATCCCAACATGTGGTCATTTAAAAGAAGCGTCCTTCACAAGCTTCCTGCTGGATCTGTAAATGCTTGTACCCACGATTCAAAGGAAATGGACAAAGATATATAAAGGAAGTCCGGGGTCAGAGGTCAGCTCCCTGTCTGCACTGCTGGGATCCTTCAGTTGGTTCTGAACTTCTGATGCCATCCATGTGGGGGAGTTATGGGTTATGTTATGTTCTATTTGCTGCTTCCACAAAGAAGATGGAAATGAACACCTTGGCAGGAGAAGTGGAAGGAAAATCCATATATGGTCTGCAGAGGAAAAGAGACACCAGCTCCTTTCCTCTCATTATTAAATACGGTGTTCTTCTTCTTAGTTACTCTCATATAAACATGCCTGAGCTCACCTATAGGGTGTGTTCTGGGGTATTCAGTTGTGGTTGTCAGCTCTTGGAGTTACATAGAAAATTTTTTCTCTGTAAAGAGGGATTTAGAACCTGCCCTCCATCCTTTTAGAGAAATTTTCTTTGAATTTACATTTAAATCACAGATTTTTTAAACCAGTTTTAAAAAAAATCTTCCCTTTCTGAGCACATTTTCAGTTAATATACACAAAACCTCATCCCTGTGAGTTTTATTATTACTTTTATTTTTTCCGTAGTGTCCATCATTTTTTCTTTGTGTTTTTTTATTAGAAGAAATACACATGCTGAGGTTTTAAGTTTAACTAGTTTTACTCCCTTTGTAGTCACTCTGTGGGTCTCTGCAGGACAAATCGTACATGAGTTTTGAGACCTCTGTGTCATCAGTGTGATGTTTCTGTTCTTTAAAACCCTGACTTACACAATCAGACACTCGTAGTGTCCAGAAACTCTATAAAAGATTATATAGAAATGCCAAATCTATGAAAAATAATGCAATGAATGATCTAATTTTACATACAAACTGTATGTTCTTTATGTTTAGTCACAAAGTTCAACGACAACTCTAATTAAAAAAAAAATAGAATTTTCTTAAAATTATTTTGTGGTCCAAGATTTATTAATAAAGAATGTTCAGAATCAAAAAATGAGACAGTCTGGAATTTTTTTCAAATATTTTTCATTTTTATTTCAAATCCTACCAATTTTAGCTGGCTTGATTGGGATAATTATTCCCAACTAACATATATATAATCTCTAAAAGAGGATAAGTGGATTTCAGCTGCTGGATATGTCAGATTTACCTGATTAACTAGGCCTCATTTGTTCAATTTGACAGCGAGGACTAGTGGAACTAGCCTTGGGATAAATAGAGTCAGAAAAAGCATGCTGATTTGAAAGTATATTTCTAAATCATTGAGATTAAATGGAATATTCTAATATTTTGTATCTGTTTTTGTGCGTTAACCATGTGTGTGTGACAGGCTGGGAGTGATGGGGAAAGTATTGGAAACTGTCCTTTCTCCCAACGTCTCTTCATGATCCTTTGGTTGAAAGGAGTAGTCTTTAACGTCACTACTGTTGACTTAAAAAGGTAAAATCGTCTTCCTTGTGAGTTTACTTGATAAAGTTAGCTGTAAAATCAATTAAATTGAAACATTCTTGTCATTTGCTGAATGAATTAAACACCAAAGAGGGGTTTAATCCAGATATATGAGCTGATGTGTTGTGTTTGGCAGGAATATGCCATTAAAATGTCATCAAGTTGGATCAAAAACATAAGATATAAAAGTCATTAGCTGATGTTTGATAATATTGTTAATATTCTTAACAAAAATTGGTTATTTTTATCAGAAAACCAGCCGACCTTCACAACCTTGCCCCTGGAACGCATCCACCATTCCTTACCTTCGAGGGAAATGTTCTAACCGACGTCAACAAGATAGAGGAGTACCTGGAAGAGATGCTGGCTCCACCGAAGTAGGTATCACCTATACCTCCGTGTATGACAGGGATGAGCGTACAAACAGCAATCTGACTAAAAACAATCTGCCGTTCAGGTATCCCAGGCTTGCAGCGAAGAACCGTCAATCCAGCGTTGCAGGAAATGACATATTTGCCAGGTTCTCAGCTTACGTCAAAAATACACGACCAGAAAACAATCGCTGTGAGTTCACAACTTATGAGACCATTTTGAAAGAAGTTTAACAGTGGCTCTTAGGAGTCTTGTTTTTTGTTCATTATTGTCTCTTTTTCAGTTTCTTCACTTTTTCTTGTATTTTATTCATTGTACATTTGGTTTAATCTCTTTATGCCTACTGTCCTTTATAAGGTAGTTTCTTAGTGACTTAGTTCTGCTCCATTGGTGTTGATTAGTCTTCCTTCCTCAGCTCCCCTGCTTACATTTTCTCTACTGTAGGCTGTTTCACATTAGGTTTTTTAAATTACACTGTCACAAGTACAGAGCAACGAAATTCACTCTCTACATTTAACCCATCCTGTTGGGGAGCAGCGGGCTCAGGGAGCCAGGCCTCAGTCCATGAGAGTGGGGCTTGAATTCAGAACCTCTGGATTCCACTAGGCCGCCACTCCCCCAATAACATAACCCCCTAATTAATGGAACCTTGATTCTGTCATTCTCCACTCTTCCCTCAGCGTATGAGCTAAGTGGTTTATTTTAATCCTGTAACCGAGCAGTTGAAAGCTTCCTCATGCTCAACCCATGATCCTGCTTGACTGTACATAACATGACTGTACATGACTGTACATAACATGACACCCAGAGCATAATGCTGCCATCACTGTGTTTCACTATCTATTTTCCTGATAAATGTGCTGTATATTCATCACATTTGAAGTTTTAAAGTGTTCAAAAGTATATCTGTAATCTTAAAAGTGTCAAGATTTGGTTTTAAGGTTTATGTTAGGACCCAAAAGCAGAAGCTGAGAGGCAGGGGTGAGATCTTGGAAGGTTTAATGAAAAATCAGGCGGCAAAAACAGGAATCCAAAAATCCAACTTAAAAATGTACATCAAAACAGAAATCCAAAAAAACCAACATGAGAATTGAACACTAACCAGGACAATGGAAACACCAGGGGAAAAAATCATGAGGAGCCAGGGCAGGATGAAATAAGACGAGGAACCAGCAAAGAGGGACTGCAGAGGGAGTGTATTTATGGCTGACTGAACAAAGGTAGGACTAATGAGCTGATAGGGAGCAGGTGTGAGCAGAGCTGGTGAGAAAGCCAAGGGAAAAGAACACAAGGGGGCAGCAGAGGACAGACAGAAAAACCTAAGCAATTTAAATGAATCCAGACACCAATAAAGCTGGAAAAACCTGGCTAAACTTGAAACTGAAAACTTAGAGAAAAACAACAGAACCAAGATAGTTACGAAAAGGGTGTGTGATTTATTTATTTATTTTGCCATGTAATAACATTGAGAGCTGCAAATATGTGTTTCAGCGTTAGAGAAGAGTCTGAACAAAGCCTTGGCTAAACTGGATGACTACTTGATGCGACCAATCCCTGACGAGGTTCAATCTGGACGACATAGCGGCGAGGGTCCTTCCACCCGCAAATACCTAGATGGTGATGAGCTGACCCTTGCCGACTGCAATCTTCTCCCGAAGCTTCATGTTGTTAAGGTAAACTTGCATTCTTTCAATTTCTCTGAATGCGACGCATGAACTCTGGCGCTTTAACAACTTCTCGTCGACAGGTGGTTGCAAAGAAGTATAGAAACTATGACATCCCCTCTGAGTTTGAAGGGGTTTGGCGTTACCTTGACAACGCCTACAAGAGAGACGAGTTCACCAACACATGTGCAGCGGATGTGGAGATCGAGCTAGCCTACCAGGCTGTGGCCAAGAGACTGGAAAAGTGAACGCAGTGTAGTGATAGCCGACAACTCTTGATTATACAAAAACATTTCATATGCTCCTTATAACTAATTTAACGTTTTTAAAACTGATTTGTAAATATAGAGTCAAAATGTGTATTAGCAAGTAGAATAGAGAAGAATGTGGGGTCTAAATGACAAATGTTTGTCTTTTTTGGTCTAATTCATGCTTTTATCAACAAAAACTCAAGTTAAAAAGCAGTGAAGCATATTAAAAACAGATAAAGCCAAGTCCATAGCATTTCTATAGGTAACGTCTGACCAGTAATCTAAAGGATAAAAGCTTTGACAGGGTGTGTGTAGTGAATTGCTTCTAGGAGTGTTTTCTCTAAATCTTATTGAGCAGAATAGCCTAATTTGCAAGCTTTCTACAGCTAATACAACAATGCCATTTAAGCTATGTCAATTGACAAGAAAAAAGTATTATTTTGTGAAAATTAATCTAAATATGTCCTTGAAGCCAGATATTTCATATTATTTAAGCGTATCAAATTATTTATATTTCCTAAATGCAGGAATATTTCTTCATTAAATATCTTCACAGTTCAAAGTTTTGCCTGACGACTTTAGAGAGCCTATTTGATGGTGTCAAAAAAGAATTACAATAATCCATCCAGGAGCATATATTACTGATTTCGGATTATGCCTAAAAAAGAGGCTTAATTTTCAACATCTATAAAGAAAGATTGATTATTTTATTAAAGATTTAACCAGGTTATCAGTCTTAATCATGCAATTTATTTCATTCCCTCAATTGGTTAGAGTAGACTTGAAATGAATGGGTACAGATCAGCACAGAGTAAGCTGTTGGAGGATTGGGGACTGAATTAAATAAATCAGATTTTAAATCCATGATTTTATGTCACTAAGACAACCAAGAAGGTCTGAATAGAGTTGGCATCTGTAGGAGGAAATACCAAGACATTCATCAACATAAAAATGGAATAAAATCTCATATTTAGAGAATGTATGAATGATCAAAGGCACAGGGAGAAAAGAAGGGGCTCAAGACTGGAGCCTTGTGATACCCCTAAGTAAGGCCACCGATCCTCACTTAATACCTTCTTTCAAATAGGTCCACCAAATGGAAACGCCATCGATTTCTTTATAAAATAAGATGCAAAAAAAAAAAAAAAATACAAATAAAAATCCATGTATTAGAGTGTTAAATTGCAAAATCTGTGGCCAGAGCTTAAAGGTAACCTTGGAGCAAGATGGTGGACAAACCAGAAAGTAGGACACACGTGGGAGGATATTCAAAGCCACTGACTCAAGTCAAGCAGTTTTAAACTTGAATATGTATTTAGGGACAGGATGCAAACTAAATTTGATTTTTGATTTAGTTTTTAAATCACATTTTATTCTGTAATTTACCAATATACTCTTAGTGACTATAAACTACCCAAAACAATATAGGATCTAGTTTGCTTTGATGTGAGAGCCTGAGAAATAAAGCAGGTTGTGAAAAAGAAATTGCAACGAAATTGTAAAATTAAACACTTTGGGGATTCATTACAAACAAATTTCTATCTGTATAAAGTGAGCAAAATGCATAGCAAGGAAAGGAACTTACTTTGATAAAGTATCTTAGAAATATACATATGTTTTGTTGATGTATATTTTGATTTTGTTCCTTTATATTTGTATCACAATTAAAATCATAGTGAGATTTTCTAAAAGATTTCTTTAGCATATTCATTGGAAATAAGATTCGGTACATCACAATAAAGAATATGTTATTTTCCTTGCAGTAAGCAGACAGATGGTAGGTTTGCTGATGTTATTCTAAAAAAAACATGTGTTTAAGCCAAAGTAATTGAAGCAGTTGGAGCTTTTCTAAGTGATGCATGTCCTATCCCTTTTCTTTTTTCATTCTGATACCATTATCTCGAAATGTCAGGCCATAATTTCGTTATGTTTAATTAGTCAGAGGCTATAGGACCACACAGTAGGCTCTAGGAGTAGAAGAAGCATGCTTATGAAATGAATGACGCATCTGATTATACTCTATTGTGGTGTTAATTTAGCACACAGTAATGGAAGTTAAGCCTTCTGATCACAAGTGCCTTCGTGGGAATCAAGCTCACTTCTGCTGTACCTTCAGCTTTTTACGTATGTACAGTATATTTTGTGTTTTAATTTATTCAGAGTGATTTTCCACATTGAATATATCCTGCTCTATAGAGCTATGCGTGACAATTATATAAACTTTGAAATGTATTTTAAGATTCTGAAAAAGAGATTGTGTGTGTAAATCATCAGCTTCTATATCAGTGTTCTGTTTTATGATGACAAATGGGAACCTGCTGTGTTTACTATTTTCCATATTTGTATAATAAAAGCTATTTTCTTAGATTGTGCAAAAGAGTTCTGTGTGTTGTTGTTGTTTTATTAACTGTAAATTGCATTGTATTCAAATTAAGCATTAAAACACACATACGTAGGGAGAGAGAGACATTAGAGACAAAAATAGTCAATGTACCCTAATTGCTGTGTTGTATTGTAATAATCTAATAGATGTAAGCATGATTTTTTCAATTGATATTTTGGAAAAAAAATTTTTTTTTTTTATTTAATCATATATTTTTTCAGGGAAATTGCTGAGTCACATAATACTATGACCTATGATTAGAAACTTCAAAGAGCTGCTGCTGTAAAATAAGCCTCAGTAACACCTGGTGACCAGCAGATGGCGCTAAACACACAGTATTTGACTGTATTTTAGGGATCGTCTTAATTTTCTATACAGTCAATGACTAAATAGAAGCATTTTATAATATATTATATATATTATATGTTTCTGATTGTATTACTTTAGAGATAATTTTCAATAAATTTCTCTTGATTCTTCATATTCAGTCATGGCACACTTTCAAATTTGGCAATAAAATCAAATAAAACTATTTTTTTTTAGAAAGTTTTCTCATATTGTTTTCTGGAGTTATATATTACTTTTCAAAAGAAGGGAACTTTCAAAAAAATTACTTCAATAAAAATGTACATACTTAATCATTAGATACACTGCTGTTATGGTATTATCACTATCAATTGCATAAAGTGTGTTGTGCAAAAATGTTATTTTACCAAAAACTTTGATTACAATTTGGTTGATTGATTTGACATATGAAATAAAAAATATCCAATTTAAATGTCTAAATACAGACAACTAAACGCAGAAAGCATGCAGTTTTATTAAGTGCACAAGTAAAATTACATTTACAACAGTGTGCACACAGTAATTTGTTTTCTAGTTTGATATGTTAAATTTGAATTTATCTCATCTTATATGTTGAGGAACTATAATAATTAGAAAAAAGCTGCATCTTTACATATCCAGAGACTTTTTTTATGTTAATTTTTGTGAAGACCAGCTATTTCTGAGTCTTATCATATAGTATATAAAACGATAATTATATTAGCTCTGGCTGTATTTTAGTTTTTTTTTTTTTTTTTGAAAAAAGTGAATTTCAAGTATTTTACAGTCTTTTTTAGCGTTGTCTAAATTTTAACTATATCCATATTCTCAGCAGCTCTAATAAGTTTTTGTAGGCTACTTTGTTTTTTCAATACAGCTCTAGGAATTGATGTCCCGTAGCTATATAATAATGATAATAATTAAAAAAATAATAATTATAATAATGATTTAACTTTATTGATCTCACACTGGAGAAAATTACCTCTGCATTAAATCCATTGTGCGGCGCCTGGGGCACAGTGTGGGGTTAAAAATGGAGGTGAGAAAGGGAGAGGAGATACTAGTAAAAGATAGACGGAGGGAAAAGAGAGGGAAAGAAAAAAAGAGTCAGAAACACAACTGCATGAAACAAGAGGGTTGGAAAACAGATAACAAAAGAAACAAAAACACACAGGCCACAAAAAGAGCGATTATCCCATAGATGCCCAAGCATATACATTTATGTTGATTCCACAAGATGGTTCAGAGTTGTATGTATCTGCAGCTTCAACTTAGTATTTTGAATAAGTATGTATCTGTGGACACCTGGAACCAAATGCCTGTTGTATATATGCATAAGTTTGCAGGTGTATAATCAGTTTACAAACCCTCTTCAGAAGAATATGCTCAACAGCAGGCGTGAGTGTCCTCAGACCTGCCCTGCTAGCAGATCAGGACAAACATAGAGGCAGGCAAAGCCACGGATATCTTAAAGTAGCTACAAAATTAGAAATTTGTTTTATCAGATTACAGCTTCTTTTGCCACCTGTTTAGTACGTCCCCTACCTAGGAATTTGTAACATGTTACTTGTTATTTTTATTGATGATATGTATGTTTTGTATTAGAACTAATGTTTCCCCAAGTAGTTTATCTAATTAGGAAAGTTCCTCTGTCAGGATAAAAAGTCATCTTCATTATGTACATGGAAAAAATTTAGTAAGGGAATGAGAGCGGTGTCCTTGATCTAAAAACATAGTGTAATATTTTGATAAGGCTGGAGTCATTGAAGTGTATGATGTAATGATGCGTTGATGTGGTATACTGGAGTTGTATAAAATGCTTCTCTAGCTGTGATTTTGGACCGACTTGAACGAGAAGTTATGACTTCTCAGGAAAGAACCAGAGAGAGAAAGCTTAAAGGTGTGAACAAAAAGCTTTCCTTTACAAACATAGTTTTCTTTTATATATTAGGTAACCTCAAATACCTTTTTAGAAAAGCTGTAATTAAAGATGTATCTAAATACCTGAACAGAACTAAAGTAGAGTTGAAAAATGAATTAGGGACATATACCATAAGACTGTTTTTGCTCCTTTTTATTCAAAATGCATCAATTTGGGAGTGGGTATATTGGGTATATGTATTTAAAAGGTTATTTTTTTAGTGAATTAAACTAAATTGAATTGAACATATACATAGAAAATATACATTGATCAGCAAATTAAGATGTATAGTTATTTATTTATCATTTATATTTTATGTTATGATACGGAAAAGGATGAGGGCCGCTAAAAATATTTTTCAAAGTCAGGGAAAAAAGTCAACATTTTGAATTTAATCTATATCAATGCATTGTTGTTTTTTTAAACCATGTTTTTATTTTCACCCACACTGTTTACATTTGATCACTGCTGCAAATCAAGAAATGGAAATGTTATAAAAGCTGTACAAAACGAAATTTTGTTTTGTATGCACTCCAGAGGTGTCAAGTACTTAAGTACACTTTTTGGGTATCTCTACTTTACTCCATTACTTATTTCTCTTCCTACTTTTGACTTCTACTAATTACATTTTCACACAAGTATCTGTACTTTCTATTCCTAACATTTTTTAAACAAACGTTACTTGTTACTCTTGGGTTCGGTTTAATGTTTATAAATATTTATTTCACGTCATGTGCGCCATCCAATGCAGATCATTGGCTCCATCCACATCTAGTGAAAACTAGTATAATTGGATGAGTCATTTAAAGCAAACACTCTTTGGTTAGTTAAAGGAAATCATCAGAAGCAAGCAGGTTTGAAGAACATGCTACAATGTTGGATTCAGAAAAAGATGTTGAAACGTCTGAAAGGTCGGACACAGGCGAGAGCGTATCGGGAGACGGAGACCAACAAGACCTCACTCATCCTTGGCCCTATCTCAAAGAATTTTTCTAAATAGTCGAAAAATTGAGATTTCAGTTCATATAGTGGCATCTGGCTGTTTTTTTTTTTTAATGTTACTTTATACTTTTATACTTTAAGCAGTTTTTGGAGCACATACTTTTTCACTTTTACTTGAGTAAAGAGCTCAAGTTGATACTTCAACTTTTACCAGAGTGTTTTTAAACTGCAGTATTATACTCAGGGGCGGATTTAGGAAATTTGAACTCAGAAAACACTCAGAACAACACTCTGGAGTACTTTTTTGATATCTCAAATGCATCTGGAGATCTGGGAGGCTTCTTGCTGTCTGCTGA